CAAATCAACCCCAAAATACCACTTTTCTTAACATTCCAACATAATTATTCTTCCAAAAATTACCTAACAAAAATCTGCAAAAAAAAAAATGTAATATCTCTTATAATGATATTTTTCTCAAAATAACCCTAACATAGCTTTAATGTAAAAATATGAAGAAAGTCTATACCTCAGATAATGAAGAAGAGCAGATCTGGAAGGCAAATCTTGCCTGATCATGAATCCGAGACTACCATTGTGATGATCACGACGAGTTCTCCGACTTTCATTTACAACACTTTAACAAAATCTCACTCTAAGGACTTCCATTTGAAACTCAAAGATTGAGCAACAATGAAGAATAAAGAAAAAAAGAGAAGAGAGAAAGAGGTACACGTTAGGAGAAAGAATGAGAGAGCCAAGCTCTCTGCACAACAAAGAGCAAAGCAATAAGGAGGGGAAAATAAGAGAGACATGGGGGATAACCCCATGTGAGTTTGGCTTTCCAAAAGAAAAAAAATTGGTTTTCCCGAAATATAATTTTTTTTGTAATAATACCTCAAAATTTTCTAATATAAATTATAAAATGATATAATTTTTCTCACTACAAAATATAACATTTTTGTACACCACAAAATATAATATTTTGTTCACTACGAAATATACACATTTTTATTCTTTATAAAATATATAAATTTTCACCATATGGTACACACCATAAAATCAACTATCAAATATTTATTATAACCCCTATATAATAAATAATAACAACTCCCAAGGTGGTTACTACCAATTACATAATTAAAAAGGGTCAAACAGTTAAACATATCTCAAGTCATGGCTTAAGCACTCAAAACTTAATATCAAATTCTGTTGTATACTAAACCGAACACCGATCAGTCCGCGAATTTTCATAAAATAAATATTTATCGATAAATTCTGAAATTTTTACCCAACATGCTAGACTCATATAGAAACGACATATAAAACTTTCATAATTTTCTAAGATCGGAAACTATTTTTAAAAAATACAAAACCAAACTGTTTTCGCACAGAATTTACACAACAATCAAATTCGAAAATTTGCTCAATTAAATTATGCACTGGCTATTTTTAAAAAGAAAAATTTAGGTCATTATGTCCTAATAGTAGGACTTAATTTCTATCAAGTACTATTGAAAATAAATCTTAATAAAATAGTCGCTAAAAATAATTTTTTGTGACAATTTTTTGCTACAATTTTTTGCATGTCTCGTTAAAAATTGACAATTAGAAACTTTTTTGTTGTCACGGTTTTTATAAATTGTCGCTAAAACATACAATTAGTGACGAGTTTTTTAAATTGTCGCTAAAAGTTGAAAATTACTAACGTTTTTTGTAGCGATTTTTTTAGACTATTACTAAAACTTATAATTAGCGACATTTTTGTGACAAAATTTTCAAATTATGGCTGAAAATTAACAACTAGTGAATTTTTTAGTAGTGTTTAATGAAAAATGTCATTAATTCTTATAGGACCTATTGGATAATAAGTCCACCTATTAGAACCTACACGTAAATCTCCAAAATTTAAATAAAAAATATTATATTATTTTGACATATAAATAATACAATTATGCTATTATTTATACATATTTAATATATAAATAAATAATATATTTGTTTTATAATTTAAATAAAGATAAAAGAGTCGATATTGATGAGTCAAACTTATTCGAATTTGAGTTCGGTTCGTTTACTAAACAAACTTAAAAATTTAGTTCAAACACATCTATTTACTTAATAAATTGAGTTGAACCGAGCCCGTAACAAACTGAGTTAAGTCAAGCCGAGTTCATGAACAGCTCATTTCATTTGTGGCCAAATATATAATTTCCATATGTAGCATCGTTTTGTTTTTGTCCATGTGCAGCGCATTATGAAATTCTGTTTACATGGCTTACTTAGATCATGATCAAACTCACCTTCACTATTACAAGCCTCTAAAACTCTTTTCGCTTAATTACTCGTATGGTTGGATCCAATCCAACTTGGAAACAGAGTCCGGAAAATTTTAAGCCATTTGGATCCATTATCTTTCAATTCAGTAAGAATCAATGTTGAGAAGGCTATGACCAATATATTTTGCAAAACAAATCATTTAATTTTTTAAGATAAATACAATAAAATAAAAAAGTTACGCTTATTGAATCAATTTAATTTTTTCATAGATTATATAAATAAAATTTTACAAAATGAACGATTCGGATAATCAAAACATGACACATGGTGGGTCTCACGGACCACTATAATTTTTTCAATAAAACTTGGGACCTCTAATTAGAGGTGCCACTAGTGATGTGACAGTGGGTAATTAGAGGTCCGACTAGTGATGCACTGCCACTGTCAGTGCTGTGTCTGTTTTTTTTTTCTTTCTTCTTTTCCACCTTATTAGAGGTGTGTTTAGAGCTTCTAAATTAGAGGTCTCTAGCACCACTGTAATTTTTTTAAGTTGAGAGATAAACTTGAGAGAAGCCCAATCCTAATTTATTTTGTAAGATTGCGTTTAGAGTGGAGTTGGGGTAGTGCTGTCACAGCGCCATGCTGTGACAGCCAAACGGTACCGTTTTATTTATTAAAAATAAAATAAAATTGAAACACAAGCATGCCTGTCGTCTTGCTGCGGGGTAGAACACTTTTATAGGTTGGCTTTAGGAAAATAAGGGGCAGCTATAAACAAACAAAAAAATAAAAAATTGAAACACAAGTATGTGAGCATGTTTTTTAAAGTAATTTGAATTTTGGATGATTTGGTATGTGAAGAAATTGGATTTAGAATGATATTCAACATTGAATTGGTTAGTTGGTTCATAGTTTAAATTCAACTTTATTTTTGATTTTATTCAATTGTTACAACTATATATATATATATATATGATAACTATATATACTTTTTATATTATATGATTGTTACATGCTGTATAATTGAAGTATTATTTGTTTCACGTGTTTATATTTCAACATTACTTTTCTTTTAAAATTTAGAGTAAATTAATCGGTAGTTTCTAAATTTTGCATCTTGTGTCATATTGATTCTTACACTTTCAATTAATTTAATTTTGACTCTTAATTTTTTTTGATTTTTGTGTCAATTTGGTCAAATTGGCAATGACGTTGGGATTTTTGATAAAGAATAATTACTAAATTGGTTGATACTAACTCAGTAAATTGATAAAGTTTATAAATTTGTTCTTACGTGATACATGTCGCTCATATTTGCATTTTTTTTTTATAAAAAAGAACTATTGGTGCAATTTATCTTAAAATTTATTTTTACAAAAAAATAATTTTGAGACAAATAAAAATGAAAGATTTATTAGAAAATCATTTTTCAAGTGTTTGTATTCCAATTAGTCCTATTATTTGAACATTTGATCTACCAAATCCTAATTCTCATATTTAAAGTATTTTATGGACATTTCTACCTTTACAAATATTTTTTGAATGGTTAGTAAGTTGGTGATGTAAACATTCATATTTTACAATGTGAATATTCACATTAACATGTTAACATTCACATTGATAGTGTGAACATTCACATTGACGGTGTGAATATTCACATCATGAAACATTCACATTATAAATGTAAATATTATTAGGAGTATTTTAGCAACTATGTCACTCATACAACTTATTAGAATATAAAAAAAATAATGTGAACTAAATGGAACATAAGTAGATGAAAAGAGATTTATAAAAAAGTGCCCCAATAAAAATATTATAAAATTTAATTTTTATACTATTTTTTGCATATTTTTTTTAACTAATCATACCTATTGTTTAAATTTTTTTTTATAACTTCTTATTTTCCTAAAGTCAACCCAACCATAAAAGTGTTGTTCCACATGTACACTACAGCAAAATGGCGACTTAAGGCGTGTGTTCATTTTTTCATTTTTTTAACAAATAAAACGGCACCGTTTACCTGTCACAGCACCTACCCCCATTTCGTTTAGAGTATAGATTTGGAAAGAAAAATAAAAAAGATATGTAAAATGTGAATGAAATATAGTTACATTTCACACATTTTTTACCTTTTCTTTTCCCTTTTCATTTCCAAATCTTTATCTAAATTCATATTGTAAACACATTATAAAAGAAAAAGGATATTTTGTCATAAATGTTAAAATAAAAAAAGAAAAATGATTTGTAAACAAAAAATACATTATCTTTTTTGTCATAATTTGTTTAATATATTAGTAATATGAATGGAAGATATTTTTGTCATAAATGTTAGGTTACTAGTTATTAGAGATTATAAAAGTTATGAATTATAATTTTAAAAAATGTACAAAATTTGTAAATTCCAAACTATCAAATGGATTACATCTATCCGTCAACCTATATGGCCCGCTCAATCCCCATCCGTTACACTAGTAAATGAATGCGGATTGATTTTTTCCGATCGACTTTAATTTTAAATGAATAATGGATGGGATGTCCCCCCGACTAAACCCGATTTGCGATCACTCTACTATTTGTAAATTACTTTTTTTCCTTTTTTTTTAATTGGGTTGTAGAGTAAAGCCTAATTGGTTTGCCGTAATTTTAACTTATGTACTAATTGTGAAAGATAGGTCAGTGTAATTTGATTAAAGAAAAAAGGGAAGGAAAAAAAAAAAGAAGGTAAATTACAAATGCATCTCCTGTGTTTGCTTAAAGTATAGATTGCCTATTATTGTTAGAAAATTACAAATACCTCATTATTAGTATTTTTTTATTTAATAGAATTAATTAAAAAAATAAAATTCATAATTGCTCACCTATATAATAATAAAATTACCTAAATTATTAATTGAAACATATTTCTAACATCATGAAAAATTGTTAAATGACTTAATGATTTATTAATAAAAGAGGCGATTTGTTATGAAATTAGAAATCTCAAAAGATAGAATATAATTTTTAAAATTACAGAGGGCGATTCGTATTTTAATCAAACTTCAGGGTGGATTTGTAATTTAACCAAAAAAAAAAAAAAAAAAAAAAGTAAGAGAAAGGGTTGCCTGTTCCGTCTCTCTCCCCTGTTATCTTCTGTGTGCTCTCCTTCTCCGCCGACTCGAACCCATCGCCGGCACTCAAAAGCTCTCTTCGCCGACGGCCACAAACACCCACGGTGGACCACCATCGCCTAATCTAACCACCCTTCTCAACAGCCCACTTCACCCCCACCCACATCGTCCTTCAATATCCTCTATTAGCGATCAAAGCCACCTCGTTCTCATCCAATCACAACCAACGATCACATCCCTCTGTGACACTAACCACCACAAGCAGCCATCACTGCTTCTTCTATCCTTTCTCTTTCAATTTCTCCGATCAGCTCACAAGGTTAGGGTTTTCATTTTAAATTATTATTATTAATATTATGATTTTTCTTTTCAAATTCTTCTTATCGTGAATGCATTTGATTTTGTTATCTCTTTTCTCGGAACGAATCTGGGGAACTTTAATTATGATGAATTTGAATCTATACTAGCTGTGAGTATAAATGTGATGCTATTGTAATTTTACATCTTAAATATTGGATGATTTGATTATTTGATGAATGATGAAGATGGATTGAATTTGTGATTGTTTTAGCAGTCTGTGTAGTAGTTAATTTATGTGTATTATTGGAAAATTAAAAAAAAAAAAAATGTGGCAAAACTTCTGAGTTGTGTGCTTTATATAATATAATACAATCAGATACATATATAATCATATGACATTCGGTCATAGCGCTATTAATTAGCATTACCAATTATTAGAGTTTGATTGGACCATAATTTCATGTTGGCAACCAATCAAGAGAATGGGGTTTTGTCAATTTCATTCCGTTCAGTGTTACACTCCCATCCCAACTTGCACTCTGTTCTAACTTATTTTATTCCAGTGTGTCAAACAGGGCCAGAGTTCATGTACAAGAAAGAAAGGGAAAGAAAATAACAGCTACTTTTCATCAATTTGTTTGGTTTACTGGAAAATTTTAAATAGAAACAAGTATCCAAATTTGTACAAGTTTGTATCAAGTGTTGAACAAAATTTGAGGAAAATATATAAGTGATTTTTATAGCCTTTTTGTTGTATTTAACTACCTTGCTTTCCGCTTTTGTGGTTCCCATCATGTGAGGGAGTGTGCTATAAGTTCAACAAAAAGACTATGAATTTATAATTTTCAAAATATGTTATTCCAAAATAATTACTATGGTGTTGGTACTTTTCCAATTGTAGTTTTTGATTGAAAGGTAGGGTCTAGGCACATCGTAGTCTTCAGCATACACTACAAGACTCTATGGTCTTTTGGCTTGTAGGCTAAAGATGAAAGTTTCATCGTGGTGTTACGTCTGCGCAGGTCATGCTACCTTAGGCTAGTCCTACTCTTCTATTGAGAGAGAGAGAGAGAGAGAGAGAGAGAGAGATCTTGCCACTGATACTGCCTCATATAAAAATGTCTTAACAAGCTAACTAACTTACCCTTGAAAATCCAAACAATTTATGTCCATGTGTGCCCCTTTTGTGAATATAAGGTTGTACCATCCTACATGACAAGTTAGAACATATGATGTCAGCTTGAGCTTTGTACTTCAACAATTTGAATATGGGGGGCATGGAAACTTACATGTTGTATACTCATAGGCTTTATTTTTTTAAAAATAAAAGTATAGCCACATATTGCGTGATTGCTTCCTTTTGGCATACTAGCAGGTACACGTCGGAAGTTCAAACTTTTGGTTCATGGTTATGGATCACTTAAGTTTTAATGTGGCAGATTGAAGGACATTACCTAGTGTTGGTCGTTGTTAATTGCAGGTGCTTTGCTTGAATGTGAAATGTCAGTATGCTAGACTGATTTTTAATAGTCTATTTTGTGGAATGGAGGTTGAATAGTGCCACTTGATATTCTGTTAAATTGATTTAATTTTTCTCTAATATTCATTTGTAGGAACTACTACTAATCATTCATACCTTTGCACTCTTGATCCATAGTACTCTTCATGAAGTTGAATATTAATTGCTTTATACTTCATTCTGGTGTTACGTACATTTTTGTTTATATACTTCTTCCACCTATTTCCAAGAATGTCACAAATAAGAAAAAGAGGAACAAATATGATACAAGATTCAATCCGATCTGTGACACAGAATTGAGAACCGATATGCCATCGTAAAGCTCATATATTTTATCTCTGTAACATGTATGCATGCATTAGGATATTCTGGTTCCATTTTGCTTTTTGGGTATCTAAGTTATATCTGGTGTTGAGTTGTTTTGGTCTTTTGCTTTCCTTGTCAGGTTTGGATGGATTTGGATACGGAAAACAGGATCGCTGCAATTCTTATGAAAGAGGCAGCAGAATTGCGGCGACAAGCTGAGAAGGAGGGTGTGCAAGTTTATCTTAGGCAGCCCAGTGTTAGGGGTCGGCCGAATTCACGTTTCCTCACAGCGACTGTTCTTGGTGTACAACAGGGTTAGTTCTGTAGTTGCATAAATGTTTGGTGTATCTGTTTTATAATTTAAATTCAATGCTTAACAAATAATATTAAAATTTGAACAAACTTTACTCCAAAACATAGTTATTTGCATGGATAGTTGGTCCTTCTAGTCCTCACATTAATTGGGGTGTTATCAATCAGGTAAACCTTGTCCTGCTAGTGGATCACCTCTGGTTCCATTGAAACTCTTGCTTGTGGATATTTATCTGCAATTGTAAATGGATTGATGTTGAATCCAAGTCTACAACCATTTTGGCATTCCTTGCAGCCAAGCTGGTGGATCACCTCTGGTTCACCTCTCTTTCTCTTTCTCTTTCTCTTTCTCTTTCTCTTTCTCTTTCGCACTCTATTTTGGTATTGCTTGCAGCCCCTCCCTCCAAACAAAAAGAAAAGAAAAGAATGTGAAGGGGAAAAAAAAAAAATCATTGGGGTTAGTTTAGTGGCCAGAAACTGTGTACCTCACTAAGAGGAGGTCATGGGTACAACTCCCCTCTCCTCCAATGTACCAATGAAAAAAGGAAAAAAAGGTTGCCAGCATTTTCTCTCATTGGGGCCTCACAAAGAGCACCTTAAGCATTGGAACGATGAATTTGTATTTTCTGTTAATTATAGTTTCAATGGCTTTAATGAATTTTCTAGCTTTTCATTATATTCTATAAATAACCTCATTCTAATTTTTAAGAGTGTTTATGGGATGTCTTAATATTATCGATATGCCATTAACATTTTGATGTCCATATGTCTGCTTGACTTTAAAAATTTGTTGACTCCAGCAAATCGAGCTGTGGAAGTAAATGAGATGTGGCGTGTTCGCCAGAAGGAACTAGAGCTGGATGATAGGCTCAAAGGGAGAATGGGAGATGACAGTAGCAGTGGTAAGAGCCAGAGGGACAGTAGTGACTCCCAAAGGAGTACAAATAAGAGGCATTCTCGGATTGATACAAATGTTAGTGATCCATGTTCATCAAGTAAAAGAGTAATCCAAGATTCCTATGCAAGGGAAGATGAAGCTTTGAAGGATGAAGATATTGATGAATTTCTACACTCGAGGTCTCTCTCTCTCTCTATATATATATATGTGTGTGTGTGTGTGTGTGTGTGTGTGTGGCTTATTTTTCTTCCCAGGTATGTTATATAAAACTCACTGATGAATCACTGATGCCAGGGTAAAGCGTGGTAGAGGTGATGTTGGTTCACGGATGGATGAAACTGGTCCTTTCCTTCCCTCTTCTTGCCCAGATTCCAAGGGAAAGCAGTTAGCAAGCCCTGATGTGGGGGGTAATGAAAGATGGAAACATCGTGTTGTTCTTGGTCCACAAAAGCCTTCTTCACTGAGGTCTTGTGAATCTTCTGAAGAGGATAAGCGGAAGAAAGCAAAGAAAATGGACTCAAGCAAGCACCACTCGAGGAAACACAAATCCAAATCGAAAGAGAAGTCAAGAGACAAGAAGAAGAAAAAGAGGGAGGAAAAAAGATGTAAACATCACAAGTAAGGATTTATTTGTTTTCTAATATCATGCAGGCTGATGCACTGTCTCTCCAAGTGGGACTTAACTTGTGTTGGTTTGGATGATAGTTCATGTCTGTACAATTGATAATTAATGTTATCAAAGGTGGTTTTTGATCATCTCTCTCTCTCTCTCAGTGTTTCAAATTTAATGTGAATACTGTTGATTGTAGACAAGTGTATTTTGTGCAGATCTAGTAAGAATGGCATTTAGATCACATACTTAACTTGGCCAAATCTCATTCTGATTAATATGAATTGATTCTCTTGTTGTGCTTCTCTACTTTTTAGTTTCCGTGAGTTTACATACATGCATGTGTCTGATTATTGATTTCTTAGATTTCCATATAATTTTTATTGTAGATCAAGCTGCAGTGATTGTTTTTAAATTTGTTATTTTAAATAAAACATAATTTATATTACAAGGAACTTAACGAGTACTATAAGCAATTGGTGACAGCCTCATTGTTGTAATGCTTAATGAGATAACAGATTGGGGCACAAGTGCTACTGAGACTTGTTAACAATAAAAAAAAAAAAAAAAAAAAGAAAAGAAAAACAATCGTAAGCAATTGGATTAAATCGAGACAATATTATAAAGGAAAATGTTTGAGGGCCACAATTTTTGTGGCTCAAATGGCTCAAAATTGCCAAAAAAATTGCCAAAACGACGTCGTTTTGGCAATTTTGAAGTTGTTTTGTACTCAAAACGACGTCGTTTTAGCAATTTTGAGCCATTTGAGCCATAAAAATTGTGGCCCTCAATCATTGCTGTATTATAAATTCAGGTTAAAATTGAGCCAATTGAAATTATAGGAACCAAAATTACACAGCCCAAAATATAAGGATTATTAGCGTAATTTGCCCACCCAAAAACTCCTTGTTGCCCACCCAAAAAAAAAAAAAAACTATAAAAATGAAAACTAGTGCTATGTTCTATTCCATCTATATTGTTTTTAAGATTTATCAGATATTTGTTGGTGCATTCATGGGAAGTGTGTTATTGATATTTGCAGTATTTGCTGGATATTTGTGATAGTGAAAATGGAGGCTTGAGTGTACACTCTTGAAGTGATTTTGTTCCAGAGAGCATTTTGCTGGAGTTCATGGCAATAGTTCACTGCTTGATTTATGGGGTTGCCATCACTCATTTTTTGGTTTTTAAACGGTCTTATGTCATATTGCAATTTTTTGCGTCTTCTGTTTTGTTGGTCCTTTCTGATTAATTGGCTTCAAAATCATGGGGAAATTGTTGGTTGTTGGTTGCTTCTTTATGATCACGTTGTGCGGTTCTTGGGGGCCCTACGTAATCATGTGATTTTTGAGAGCGGTTAGGGCATTGCCCAGGTTCTGTACAATTTTTTTGTTTTCATGAGCAACCCTATCCGTCAAAAAGTCAAATTTGTGCCCCACACGGTGTAGAAGATGGGTCATAACCCACCACAGGGTGGTTGAAGCTTTATATTAATATGGTCTTTGTGGGAATCAAATCTCACTATGAAATATAATCCCATATTTGTCTGCTTATTATAATAGGTATTCATGAAGAGTTTTCTCCTCAGGTTCCTTTATATTCTTAGATTATAGTGAATGATCATGACAACTGTGGAATAAAAAAAGGGATCAAAAGAAGGAAGGAAGGAAGGAATTTTGTCTAAAGTCTCTGCGACGACTTTGGTGTTATTTCTCTGCATATTTACGATGAAGACAGGCTTATATAGTTTCATGTATTGATTATCTAAATTCCAGAAATACAGCAAACATAAACAAAAAAAAAAGGTCAAAGATCAGTGTTCTTGCTCTGTATCGATAGTTGCATAATAGTTTTCTTTTTTTTTTGGTTCATTTTTAGTTTGAATATTGTTGTGATTCTTGAGAGAACATGGCTCTACTAGCCTTTCCTGTGGATATATGGAATTTTTACTAGTCATATAAGAAAGAAACCTCTGTTGCCGTGTGTTTATACTGTTTGTTCTGTAAAATTATGCCAAGGTAGTTAAATCATTTGTGTGAGACATTTAGATTTTGTTTTTTTGGGGTTATATATGGAGTGCGGAGGTGGAATATTATCGTCTTTCTTTAACACTAGATGCAGACGAGAGGAATCAGAAAGACACGAGTCATTCTTGGAAAATGGGAGCAAGGTACTGGAGGAGTTCATCACTTCATGGAATGGACGATGGAGCATTCCTATCCGTAACTTCTCTGCTCAGGAGCTCATTAGGTCGACCAATAACTATGACCCTAGGCATTTGGTTGATGAAGATGCTTATTATGCATTGTACGTAGGTTCTTTCGGAGAACGCCCAATTTTGGTTAAGAAGTATAGGTCGTTAGGGCTTGATAACTTTTCTGGTGGCGCTCATCTCAAGGCCGGTGCAGTCCGTGACATAGTGACTACATCGCAGATGAGTTGTCACAAGAATGTTCTGATGCTCATAGGTTGCTGCTTGGAATCTGAATATCCCTTTCTAGTTTATGAAGATGTAGGGAGTACTGAACTTCTCTCTCACTCGTTCAAAAGTGAAGGTAGATCCTTATTATCCTTGAAAAGTAGGGTAAGGATTGCAAGTGAAATTGCTTACGCTTTTGTGTACCTCCACACTGCATTTTCTACCCCCATCATTCATAGGAATCTAAAAACAAATATTGTGATCATAGACTGATGTGGTGTTGCTAAATTGTTAGATTTCTCAATATCTATAGTGATTCCTCCAGGAGAATCACAGGTGAAAGATATGGTAATCTCATCACGCAGTCTCGTGGAACCTCAGTACCTCCAAACAGGGATTCTTACTGAGAAGACTGATGTTTATGATTTTGGTATGTTTCTTGTAGAACTTTTGACTGGAAAGAGAATTGCTGACATACAGCTTCACCTCCAATATGGGTGCTTTGAAGATTATGTGCACAAGGGTGGGTTGAATGAAATTGTGGATGCTAGAACTCGAGAGGGAAGTGGAGGCGGAGTTGAGCAAGAGCAACAATTGCAAGCTTTTGTATCACTTGCAATGCAATGTCTTCAAAAAGAAGGAGAAGATATGCCAGAAATGATTGATGTTGCCAAAGAACTTAAACGAATTCAGAGGCCGCCTCTTGTTCATCCCCCATCAGCTCAAACCATAAATCCATTATAAGATGGTGGCTTGTTTTTAATGAATTTTGGTATCCTTTGTATTCTTCTGTTCCTGATTACCAATTTTCAATCTTATCAATGTCCTGTAATGTAAGTAGTTCTGCATTAATCAAAGTACCAGAGTGTTTTTCTTCTGTAGCTAGGGTAAAACAAGTCTTATGAAATCAATGGGTGCAAAAACAACCAAAACAATTAACAGAACGTTTTCGAGCTCGTAGGTTGCTGCCTAAGAGTTTCAATTTCCGGCTCTGGTATACGAACATGGAGGCGACGCACTCTAGTTCTCTCTAATCTTATCTGCAACAATGGTAGCCAGGATGAGCGATCATTATCGTGGAAAAATAAGCTTAGGATTGCAAATGGAATTGCTAATGATGCTGCATTTATATCTCCGCAATGCATTTCCGAAGCCTCTCATTCACACTGTGAATAGGTCATAACTTTATGCTTAGTAATCAATTTTGGACGATTTTTTTTTTATTATCAAATTTTATGTACTTTTTTGAAATCTATCCATTTAAAATTGTCTAGACAATTTGGAGCACTTACTTTCTGAAAAAATGTTGTTTCATTGTTTTGATTAATCGAAAAATCAATCTTTCAACTTATTTTTTTTTAAAATTTTATATTCAATGAAAAATACAAATTCATAGATATTAAATTTATTAAAAATGGATTTGTCATAAATTTGTGTAACAAAAAATGCATGTCCTTATAGTCTTGAGAGTTTAGCTCCGGGAGGTATTGCAAAAGGAAAATGTTTGAGGGCCACAATTTTTGTGGCTCAAATGGCTCAAAATTGTCAAAACGACGCCGTTTTGGCAATTTTGAAGTTGTTTTGTACTCAAAACGACGTCGTTTTATCATAGATATTAAATTTATTAAAAATGGATTTGTCATAAATTTGTGTAACAAAAAATGCATGTCCTTATAGTCTTGAGAGTTTAGCTCCGGGAGGTATTACAAAATAAGTTTGAAAATTAGATTTATGGCCCGACTTTCCTTTTTAACTTGTAGTTTTTTAATATTTTAATTAAAATTATTTACTTTTTTAATTCACTAAGCTCAGGTATATTTAAAAAGTACAAAATTTGTAATTTTTTTTTTCTAAATTCAATAAATAAAAAAATTATAAAAAATCAGAATTTTTTTTTTTGTATTTTTTTTCCTTCTAATTTGTATTTTTTTCCTTCTAAAATTTTCTTAAATTTCTTTCCAAATATTTTTATTTTTTAAATACATATAGATTAGTTATATTTAAAAAAAATTCACTAAAAACAAAATAAAATACATTAACAGAAAGTAAAAAATTATGGTTAAACTCAAAGTCAAACCGATTGATTATAGTTTTTCCTATTGCCACTTGGGGCTTGACCCCAACCTAACCCAACCATGGAAGTTGTCCGGAGCCACATCAGTGACTTAGTGACATTTTTTGGATGAATTTTTTAAAATGTGGTTGAAAGTTAAAAATTAATAATTTTTTTTGACAATTTTTTTGAAGGGCAAAGCAGTAATAAATCCCAAAATTCAATTTGTTTGTTATTCTTCAGTGGTTTGCCAGGCCAGCCAAGTACTTCAAAATCGTGGGGAAATTGTTGGTTGTTGGTTGCTGCTTTATGGTCACGTTGTGTGGTTCTTGGGGGGCTTACATAATCGTGTGACTTTTGAGGGCATTGTCTAGTTCTGTGCAAATTTCTGTACCCGTATTGCCATTTTCGTGAAATTGGTAACGTCGTTTTCCGTTGTCACCGAAAATGATGAACTAAAGTGGTTGAAAACCATCTGCACCGTTGGATCATGAGACACATACCTGATCTAACGGTGCAGATGGTTTTCATGACAATTTTCATGAAAATTCTTCATGACACTTAGCATTTTCCTTTTTTTTTTTTTGTTTTCATGAGCAACCTATCAGTCAAAAAGTCAAATTTGTGCCCTACACTGTGCAGAAGATGAGTCATAACCTACAATAATTCCACAGGTTGGTTGAAGCTTTATATTAGGTCGACCAACAACTTTTTCCAAGGTAGTTAATCATGACTACTGTGGAATAAAAAAAGGGATCGAAGGAAGGAAGGAAGGAAGGAAGGAATTTCGTCTAAAGTCTCTGCAACGACTTTGGTGTTATTTCTCTGCATCTTCACGATGAAGACAGGCTTATATAGTTTCGTGTATTGCTTATCTAAATTCCAGAAGTTGAGCAAACATAAACAAAAAAAATAAAATCAAAGATCATCCGTCTTGCTCTGTATCGATAGTTGCATAATAGTTGTTTTCTTTTGTTCATTTTTAGTTTGATTATTGTTGTGATTCTTGAGAAAACATAGCTCTGCTAGTCTTTCCTGTGGATATATGGAATTTTTACTAGTCATATAAGGAAGAAACCTCTGTTGCTGTGTGCTTGTACGGTTTGTTCTGTAAAATTACAAAAATATTTTAGACCACTAATTAGTGGTGGCTCTAATGATGTGACAGTGGGTCTCACTCACTGCCACATGTGTTTTGTGCTGTTTTTTTTTTTTTTTTTTTTAATTGCCACCTCACTAGTGATGGTATTAGTGATGGTAAATTAGTGGTCTATAGCATTGCTCGTAAAATTATTCCAAGGTAGTTAATCATTTGTGTGTGACATTTAGATTTGCTTTTTTTGGGTTATATATGGAGTGCGGAGGTGGAATATTATCGTCTTTCTTTAACACTAGATGCAGACGAGAGGAAGCAGAAAGATACGAGTCATTCTTGGAAAATGGGAGCAAGGTACTGGAGGAGTTCATCACTAAATGGAATGGCCAATGTAGCATTCCTATCCGTAATTTCTCTGCTGGAGAGCTAATTAGGTCGACCAACAACTTTGACTGTCAGCATTGGATTGATCAAGATGCTTTCTACAATTTGTACAGAGGCTCTTTCGGAGAACGCCCAATATTGGTTAAGCAGTATTATAACCATATTCCTGACTTTCCTACCACAGCCTTTACTGTCCGTGGCATTGCTGTCCGTGACATAGTGATTACCTCACAGATGAGTAGTCAAAAGATTGTTGTGAAGCTCATAGGTTGCTGCTTGGAATTCCAATACCCAGTTCTGGTTTATGAAGGTCTAAGAAGTAGTGAACAACTTCTCTCTCGGTCCTTGTACAAAAGGGAAGGAGACATGGCGAATCATAACGATGGATCATCATTATCATTGAAAACTAGGGTTAGGATTGCAAATGATATCACGTATGCTTTCGTGTACCTCCACACTGCATTTCCTACATCCATCATTCATAGGAGTCTAAAATCAAATAATGTGATCATAGACCGGTGTGGTGGTGCTGCTAAATTGTTAGATTTCTCATTCTCTATAGCGATTCCTCCTGAAGAATCACATGTGGAGGATTCAGTAATCGGGACATCAGGTTTTATGGAGCCTGAATATTGTCTCAGAGGGATTCTTACTGTGAAGACTAATGTTTACGATTTTGGCATGATTCTCGTTGAACTTCTGACTGGACAGAGAATTGGGGCCTTGCACAGGCAATATGAGAGCTTGCACATGCAATATGAGAGCTTACAAGATTATTTACACAATGGTGGGCTGAATGAAATGTTGGATGCTAAAATCCGAGGGGAAGGTGGAGGAGTTGTGCAAGAGCAACAATTGCAAGCTCTAGTAGAACTTGCCATGCAATGTCTTCAGAAAGAAAGAGAAGATAGGCCAGAAATGATCGATGTGGCCAAAGAAGTTAAACGAATTCAGAGGCTTGTTCAAACCCCAATCAGCTCAACCATAAATCCATTATAAGATGGTGACTTTGTGCTCCACACAGATGCACCAATTTGCGTTGTTAGTTCTTGTTGTAGTTGTTTTTAATGCTTTGGGATCCTTTGTACTCTATCCCTGATGACCATGTTTCAATTTTATCGATGTCTTGTAACTGGTTCTGCATTATTCAATTCCAGAGTGTTTTCTTCTGTGCAGCCCTTTGTTTCGTTTTATTCCACTTGCAGGTTCGGTAAACCCAGTCCAGATAGATAGATAGATATTGATTTGGAATCAACAGCTAGATACATACATACCGATATTCATTAATTTCCTTGGAGCCTCGTGTAATCGTGTGGCTTTTGAGAGCTGTTAGGGTATTGCCCAGGTTCGATGCAAATTTCTCTGCTAGTAAATTTTTTTTGTTTTCATGAGCAACCCTATCATTCAGAAAGTCAAGTTCGCATATGCATCAAATTGGTGTTGCTATTGTTTTTATGCATTTTGGGGTCCTTTGTATTCTGCTGTACCTGATTACCAATTTTCAATCTTATCAATGTCCTGTAACTAGTATTGCAGTAATCAAATTCTCTAATGCTGTATTTGATTGGGGATTTGGAAAGGGATTTGAGAAAGAAAAAGGAAAAGGTGTATAAAATTCGGTGAAATATAAGTATATTTTATTCACATTTCATATTCATTTTTCATTTCTCTTTCCAAATCATTTCCTAAATTCCCAACCAAACACAAGATAAGTGTTTTCTTCTCTTCTCAAGTCTTATGAAATCAGTGGATACCAAAACAATTAACAGAACGTTTTCGAGCTCATAGAGTTTAAATTTCCAGCTCTGGTATAAGAGCATGGAGGCGGCTCACTCTAGTTCTCTCTAATCTTATCTGCAACAATGGTAGCCAGGATGAGAGATCATTATCATGGAAAAATAAGCTTTAGGATTGCAAATGGAATTGCTATTGATGCTATATATACCTCCACAATTGCATTTTCGAGGCCTGTTATCCATTTTGGACAAAATTATTTATTTTTTTAATTCCATGTATTTTTTCAAAATTTATCCATCCAAAATTGTCAAGACAATTTGGAGCACTTACTTTTTGAAAAATGTCACTGCTTTGATTAACCGAAAAATTAACCTTTTAATATTTGTTTGAAATTTCATATACAATATATATCTTATTTGAAAGATTTCAAAAATACAAATTCACATATATTAATTTTATTAAAAATAAATTTGTAATAAATCTCATAGTATAGGCATGTTTTTATTTGTTTCGTGGTTTGAGTGACCGGATTGGACTATCATGGTTGTGGGTCCTACCCACAGCATGTTTGGTGGTGAAATAGGAGGGCAAATTGATAGTCCAAGGGACTTAGTAATTCCCCTCAGTCAGGGGAATAGCTTAGTTGGGTTTTGGATAAAATTAAAAAAATAGTCAGAGGATTGAGTCTATTTTATATATAAAAAAAATTATTTATTTATACCTAGTGCACCTGTTTGTTTCAATTTTTTAATATAAAAATAATTTAACAATCTCATCACTAATCATTTCCTATACTATCATCAAAACAAATACAATTTTACTTAATCCTTAACCAACAATTCTCATATTAACAATCTCTTCACTAATCATCATTTCACTAACAATCTCATCCAATCTAATCTGCCAAACAAACGTGGCCTTAAAGAATTTAGTGTCTCGGGTATTACAAAATAAGTTTGAAAATTGAATTTAAGACTTGAGTTTCCTTTTTGTACGGGAAAGAAATAAACCTTCTCGTATAATCCTATTGATCAAGTCCGCGTTCCTCCAAACATCGTCGCTTTACTCTCTGAAAACACAAACGTGAGCTAGCCGGCGGGTGTGTGCCAGAAACCCCTCCGATGCCTAAGTCAGCAAAATAGACAAGTAGACAAAAGTTTTGTGTATTCAGGAATCAAAGTTGTGTTACCTCTCCATAGGTGATAATTGTGAGCTTTTATAGGTTCCGTGTGGCATAGTCCTAATAGGACTTCTACTCCTCCATGCAGAGTCCTCCTAGGATTCATACTCCTGAAAGATAATGCTTATCCTTCAACACCCTCCTCACTGCTTAAACCAAGTGAGATGGTTTTACCATGGTCAGACTTCTATGAGACCGAAATACCATTGCCTTACTAGATATGCAAGTATGACAGATCTAACATTCAGTCTGGCTCTTCTTTTCCTTGCTTCTATCTCGACTTCGCATGCCCAGACCGAGCTATCCATAGAAGTGTCGAACCGAACTAACACAGAAGTATCTTGAAGAAGGCTTATCATACTTCGGTTTAGAAGACACGACCAGGCTAACCGTAATATGCTGCGACCGGACTAACTCTGAGGGTGGTGACCCAGCGACCGAACTGCCGCGCTCTCTCGGACCGAGATAACAATGCACTTCTGGGACTGGTCTTAACTTTAAGTCCTGCTTGGACCGGACTGGATTTGAGGCCTTTTTACTCAGCCCTTCGTACTTTGGCCCATAACGGCCCATTGTCCAGCTCGGCCCAATATTCATATAAATTACTCTCTTAATTGCCCCTTAATTCCATCTGTGCAGCATGATAGAGATTACTTGTTTTACCAGCCGAGCTAAGGTTTTTAAGCCTTTCAACCAAACTAAAAACCCTTTAGCTTTTCCAGCCGAACTAAAACCTTTTTGCTTACCCAGCCGAGCTAATTCCACACCGGGCTCTCCTTGTCCGGTCAAAACGTCTCTTCAATCATAGTCAACCGAATCGTTTCTCATTTCCATGACACGTGGCATACGCTGATTGGCCCAAGGCAGCTGTCACGCTGTCTTTGTACTTGGTGAATTTTGAACAGTTCCCACCTCTGGTTTTTGCAACAAAACAAAACAAACCTATTCATTTTGAATCTCACCACACTATTTATCTTCTCTCCTCTTGTTCTCTCTCTTGCCTGCATCTCCATTGTTTTGCATTTTGCGAAGCTTGCGTTTGTGACTGTTTTCTACTTCCCTTTCCTTCCTCTTACTTTGGTGAGTAACACAAATCTGTTCTATTTTTCTGGCTTTCGTACTTTTTTAGCCCATAACATTTGTTTTATGTGTTTTTGCAAAACATTTTTTACTTCCATTTTCTGCCTTGTCTTGCATCTTCTGCAAAAACTTAGTAATAGAGCCCCTCTGATTCAAGAAATAACATGAAAACCACTAGTTTTGATCCAAAATCACAATATAACTGAACTAGGAAGTTGTTTGTAGTGGATGTCAGTCTAGCCGGACCAACCAACCGAGCTAACTCTTTATTGCTATATTTGTAGTTCTAACAAGTCAAGCCTTGAAAACCTTAACTATACCCGAGCTGAATCTAGGGGCTAAACCAGCCTTCCAAGTTCAGACCGAACTAAGAAAGCTGCCCCTTGAGGTTCAACCGAGCTATCAAATGCCTTGCTCAAACCCAGCTAACGGACCCCTTGCTGAAACTGAGCTAACACCCGTAGTTCTTTACATAACCGAGATAGGACTACATTTACTTTACCTTGATTTCTTTCTAGCACGGTCCATCGATCTGTGCATAACCCCTTTCTTTTTTCACTTTGCAAACTTAGGTTGCCAGGCACTCCTTCGCACGCTCAACCAAGCTACTCAGCGTCATTTTTTAACCGAGCTATCACAGTTAAATTATACATAACTTAAGAGTAAATGAGTAAATATAGGTTTTTAGTAGAAACACCTGGTGGCTTGGCCGAATTCCGAAGGGAGTATAACATCCCTGATGACGTCCATCTCACCTTAGCTGAACAAGATATCATACCTTGGGAGAACCCTGGTTTTGTTCCCTTCACCCTCCTTTCCATTGTAGAGACCGACCTAAGATTCCCTGTACAGCCCTTGCTTTGTGAATTCCTTAGGCAAACTAGGATATGCCCAACTCAGCTTTCCACAAACTCACACCGCATAATAAATGGTATAGCTGAGCTAAACCGTCGTGCTGGTATTAACCTCGGTTTAGCCAAACTATTTCACCAATATTCTATAGACTCAAAAGAAGACGGGTGGGTTTATTATTTAAGAATACGCTGCCGGTGTGAGAAAATAATAAAGAACACACCGGACAAAGACTTAAACGATGACGATTTTTTCTGGGTATCTGGCAATTTCGAAGACCACCAAGCCCAGATCCCAGGCCTCAGTATAAACTGGAATAAAGGAACACCCGGTATAATTACTTTGGTTCCTTTACATACTCCTGTTTTATTTCGGTTTCCTATTCCTGAACCGAACTAACAGTTGTCTTCTTTATGCAGATTCAGCCCATCTTCAATCACTATACAGTTACCCCAATCTGAACACTCTCCGCGCCGCATTACGATATCCAGAAAGAAGTTGGGCCAAGCTGCTGAATTTTGAGCCGACGTACAGATACAGCAGCCGACGTAAAGCCAGAATAACAGACTTCTTTCTGGAAGCCTCTCCCGAACTGGACCCCAACTTGCCACAAATTAACCTGGTTCGTATTACCGAAGAAGAAGAAATGGCGAAGAGGAACAGAGTAAGGGCCCTCTTAACCGAAACCCATCGAGCTGAAGTACCGCCACAAGTCCAGACTCAGGAAACAGTGGTGGCCCTTCCATCTCAACAACCCTCTTCATCACGCCCAAGTAAGCGCGCCCGGACTACCCAAACCGAGCAACGCCTTGCTGATGAAGATGAAACCATCCTTCCACCGAGCCCTCCACCGAGCCCTCAGCTGGAGCGTTCTGACCGGGCTAGTTCCTCCAAGTGGGCTAAAAAAATGACTTTTCAAAACCGCGCTATCCGTGATACTGACTCAATGGTGGCTGACAAAGACCATATGCTAGCCTTCAATCTGGCTAAGAGTGTATGTCTGCCCCCTGATATGGAGCATCACAACCAGTTGACCGAGCTCAAGGCTATCCGGTCAGCAACGAAATCAATGATCCTGGTAAGTAGCCCCTCTGGTCTCCTTAATTTTTCCAACTTTTTTGCTCGGTCTGGTCAATAGTTTCTTTCTATTCCTTTTCAGGCCATGCAAAAGAGTCAAATTGCACACAAGCGTGTGTTGGAGCTTCGTAAAACAGCAAGGCAAGCCATGACCGAAGTTGAAACAAAAACCACCGAGCTAAAAGACTCCCAACAGAGGACAGCCGAGCTAGAGGCCGAGGTAACCCGTCTAACCGGACTAGTTACCTCAGCTAATGCTGACAAACAAAAGGCCCTGACCGTGATAAAGGACAAGTACCTGCGTGAGCTGGCCAAGCTCGAAGGAAAGAAAAATGCAGAGATCGCCGAGCTAAAAAAGAAGGCGGAGGTTTCAAGGAGGGGGAGACCCTTTACATGCAACAATGTGAGACAGCTAAGGATTTGTTCTTCAA